ATTCAAAAAAGAAATATACTTTGTAATGGCTTCAAATGTGTTGCAATGATAAAATATTGTTTTGCTGGTGTTACTATCAACCATTCAATGTATAGGTGAATGCAAAGCTGGATTTCCCTATTAGCAAAATAAGGCTTGGGACTCCCATCCCCTTGCCCGGATTTTTTAAAATAAATATTACAAACTTCATACATTTTTTTTATCTCAATAATCATTAATCAAATAGGTTACTGAACTACAATGTTTTATTTTAAAAATAAATTGAATGAAACCAAACAGGTATTTGTAAATGAGAAATTTAAAACGCAATTTCCACTTTGTACGCAATTTGTTAAATTTACATCTATATTAGAACAATGATTTATTCTGTCATAATTAGTATTTTTTAAATTTATTCATATTTAGTTTTTTAGTTTTAAAGATTCTTCTGAAGGAGTACCTAGAATAATTTTGTGCTTGAAAGCTTGCAGTATCTTAATCCATCCATGGGCAAATTTAATAATTACATTTGTAATTAATAATTACATTTTAATGAAATTGTAAGAGGAATGATATATTCAGCCTTTGGTAGTTTTAGTATTTTAATAAAAAAACAACTTTTTTCAGCACTATATTTTATCTAATTGTTTGCATTTCTTGAACAGTAGTAATGCATTTTGAGTGGTTCTCATGTCTTATTTTCAAAACATTTAAACATCTTTTCATTCTGAGTGCAACATCACGATAAACAATTACAAAAAGACCGTGCTACTTGGAAATCTCTGTTGGAGATTTTATCTCCAACAATGTAATAATTTTATTATTGAAGGTCTCAATAATACAGCTCTCAGAATTATATGATGCACTAATTTCATTTCATCAGTTTTAGTTTGATATATACTTTTCACAATAATCTGCATCTAAATCAATATCACAACATTATATAAAATTATACTGAAAACCAACAAATAGTTTCTATGAATTGCACTGCGGGATATATTATGACACATTGCAATTGCACAAAAAAGTTTTAAAATTTCAATAAAAGTTATATAAAAACATAAATACTGATCATGCAGTTTAATTAACTAAGCAAAAATGAAATAGGGGAATGACAGAAAAAACAAAACAAAAATTAGGATAAGGATAATAAGAAGCATTAGGAGTCAATGATTACGATTTCTGTCAACTTATAATATAAAGCTTTATACAATGTTGAAGAAAACCAAACTGCTGACCTCGTTGTTAAGCAATCGAAGATTTATCCTACCATTAGCTCAGGTAATTCAAGAAATAAAATTTAGAGATAAACAAATAAAGAAAAAATATTTGAAAACCTTTTATTATGTTACTATTCTAGTGATATTGGGATAATTATTTCATTATCTTTCAAATTTTGCTTTGGAAACAAATACTCCACCAATTCGCTCAAATTGAGATATTTACCGTATGTTGGCCAGGAAACAAACAGTATTCAAAGTGATTCGAAACAATGAAACTTTGAAGAAGAAAGAGCCCAGAACAGTCAAGCCATTCTCAAAGACATTACGGTGTTACTAACGACCTAAGACTTTATACCCCACTCAAACATGGAGATTTTGTCATTATTTGCAATCACTGTACAAAAAATATATAAATATTGATCTATAATGTTTTTTTTAATGATTTTGCTCATACTAATTGTGTAATGGTGCTTTTTTATGTTCAATCTAATGTTTCAATTTTTTATTCCATGGCCACGCAATCTGTTGGTACTAGTTAAGAAACAAGTCAACCATAGCTCTTTATGTGGTATTAAAATATTTTTATTTTACATCTGTTAAACAAAATTAATTTAAATAATTGAATAAAACTAAGCATAAAAGTCCCTATTTTGTTTAAGTGTCTCACAATACCCACTTATCTCGCAAATCAATATTTTTAAATGTAATATGGACTCAGTATCTACTAGGGACTATCTCACTTTAACCACCTGAAATGTCTGAGATCGTTCTCCTTCTTATAATGCCTTTCACCAGGGACATTTGTGAGATGATTTTAGCGATATCTATGAATTGTTCTGCACACTAATTTGATATTTTTATGCTATGATGGTTCGTTGGTCATGCATTTGAATGCAAGGTAGCCAGCGATCTTGCTTTTTTGGAATTTAAGTTTTTTCCTCAGTCTTCCAGGATTGAGAATTTACATTTTCCAGGTTATGTTTCACACATTACAACACATTGATCATTACTTAGGCATACTATGTTTCAAACATTCCTCTTGCAACCTAGAACTGGTGTAGAATTTTGCAAAAAAATCATTTTTAAAGAAAACTTTTGTTTTTTCGCAAGGCAACGTATGTTACAAACTAATATTCAAACTCCACAAAAAATGTGAAAATATTTTTTCAGAAGGAAAGTCAATCTTGGTATTGATTGTTGGGTTGTTTGAAATTTTCTCTGTGTGTCTGCATTTGTTTATAATTGAATTTGCTCCATAATCTCAAAGTTACTGCATCTGACAAAACTTAGTTTAGCCCAAACGGTGCCAACAGTCATACGTATTACAATGAGTGTATAAAGTATTCATACACTGAATACTGTAAAAAAAAAAGCACTGCATTTCCCCAAAATAATATATTTACCTAAAATTATTGATCACATTGTAAGAGTGCTCAAATACTTATTTATGAATTAGAAATGAATTTTTTGTTAATAACAAAAGTATCTTACAGAATGAAGCACAAAAAGTATTCACACATACAATAGTTTTCATAAAATATTGATTTCTAATTTACGTGTTTTCTGGTAAATCTAATATTTAATGGGATAGCCACTTGCTTTTATTATTGCTTACAATATTTGTGGCACAACCAACCAAATTTGATGTCAATAATGGCGAAAATATTATTCCATTCTTCCAGTAGAACCGTTTTTAGTGTCTAGTTACTAAAAATAAGCATCTTTGAAGCCTTCTTCCAGCTCACCCCAAAGATGTTTGGTGTCTGATGAGGAGTCTTGATGTAGGATTTAATTTTGTACAGTATCTACACGCGAGTATTTAGGGCGCTTTGTTTAGGATTGTTATCTTGCATTAATATTAAAAGAATCGTTAATTCCCATTTTTTCAATACTATGCTTTACATAAATCGGGACACCGGCGTAGAATAAACGCATCTTCTTGGGTCTCTTATAAACATTTTGGAAGAGTGCGACGGAGATATCGAAAATTCCCAGGGAAGAACTTTCCACAGTCCTTGAGAGATTGGTTTGGAATTTCTTACGACGCAGTACTTTCAGGCCAATGGTGATGCAATATTTTTACAGACGGGAGGAAACAGGTTTTCGAGGTATGAGGGAAGAGGAAAATAAGATCTGGGAGATTCTTGTCAGGCAACCAGGGAAGACTTCCTTGGGTTGGCGCTTAGTGTGCAGTTCACTCCACGAGAGTCTTCGTGTGAGACATGTCTGAAACTCTTGAGTTAATGCCTTCTTTAAGACACTTGTTCGGGGTCGAGAGCCGGGAGTTGGCGCCGCAAGCTCGTGTTTTATACAGTGTTAGTGTTGTTGTTGTTGTTGTTGTTGTTGTTGTTGTTGTTGTTGTTGTTGTCGCTGTTTTGGTGCGCGTTATTGCTGCAGAACACCGCTGGCGCGTGCAGTCGCATTTACGTACATCTTTGCTAAAGAACTTGATCCGAACCCGTTCTAAATTGAGTACTGAACTGTTTATTGAACTCTTTTGGTTGTGATTACCGGAATTAGGTTACGTGAATTATTAAAATCTGCTGCACTCAATGAAAGACTTAGTAACAAGAGCGCGTCAAAAGACTGGTGTGACGTGTGCGGAAAAGGGGTTCTGTAGATGCTTGCTCCCACTACCTGCAGCGATCGACCGTCACCCTCAGGACTGCTGGAAAGGCGTGCCATTATCAGAGCCTTTTGTTTAAACCCAGAGGAAAAATTTAAATAGTAATTGTGTTTTTAAAATAGTAAGGCGCATAGAAAGGGCCCAAAGAAATTCTGTAACTATGGATAACTTTAATTTTAATTTTTGACTATGAGCTCAGTAAAATGATCAAGGGTTTCCAGTATTCTAAATAACTTCTATTAGATTTTGTTCATAGGTATCATCAAATATCTTTTATTCTTTTCAACAACGCCCACACTTCCGTCCACCGAATGCAGCCATACCCAGCATGGACCAGAGTTAGCTGGAACACCGACGAGGAACAAACGCGCAGCGCGACAGCATATCTATATATTGTTTGTAATCCATTGTCCCCTCTATAAAATGCAAGGATCCTACTCCTACTGTGCTCCAACACACTCACATTAAAACATGGTATTCTTAACTTCTCACATAGCATAGATCGGTACTGTCACATACAATTGGAAATATTTTCTAAGATCAGCAGTATTTTTTGGAGCACTAGCATTTGGCGCCCATTTCTCGGTGAATTTTCATGTGATTTTCTTTCTCCAAATCTATGGATTACTACTTGAACATTGGATCGAGGTCTCTTTATAAATTTCGAAATTTCTCTCAATGTTTTGCACTCATTGTGTAACAATAATTATAACTCACTCTTCTTTAGGGGTTTCTTTGCTTTTGTAACCCATCTTGATAGACACAGCATTTAACGGTCAGTGGAAACAGAAAATCTGTTCACTACAAGAATACGTTGGTGACCTTGAATGAGACCAGAGTTGCTCAGTGTTATTAGACTACCAGCACAATGGCAGCAATAGAGTCCAAAAGGTGTACAAATACTTTTTGTGCCCTGGAGTAAACGACATTTGTAAATTTTCTTAAGTTGAATCTACCAAAAAATATATTTGTATTACTATTAAATATTTCGATTAGTAATTATATTTCATTATTACAGAAATACAGCTAGAAATTAATTAAAATGACTTGCTTAAATTGCAGTGTACAAATACTTTTTACACACCATGTTACTCATGCTCAGCACACTAGTAGCAGTCAATGGGATAATAAAATTGATAACACATTACAAGTAAATAATTATGCAATCTTACCTTGAATATATGGTAGGTCCAGCTTGTGGCAATCCCATATAGTTTTTTCCGACAGGAAGATAAGCAGAAATAATTGCTGATCCAATATAAAATCCATGATTTGCATCTGGAGGATATTCTTGCCATTTTAAAAATACATAATCAAATTCTATATAAATTTCTGTAACAGACCGAGCAGGAATTCTCAGCAAAACTTCCAATGAATATGGGCGAGAGCGCTCTTTTCCAGGAACATATTTCTTCAGAACTGAAAACAATGAACCAGAAATGAAGGAAACCAACTTCAAGTTAAATTTAAAAGTAAAGCAATTAATTAATATGTAACGTGTCATTCCATAATCCAAATATAATACGTACTTGGTGTTATTTCCTTGCCTCCGGCAACTACTCGCAATGTATGAAGGTAAATTGGTAAAAACCATGGTATATTTTCAAGATAAATTATATCAAGATGCTTCCAGTGATTGTTGTGAATTTTTGTTACAATGCCTCCTCTCTCCTGACCATATCCTATTTGAAGGATACCACGAAAAAATTAACCTTCCTTTCAATGCAGAAGGAAAACTAATTCTAATCCTAGTAGGATTTCACACATGACTTCACTGATACTAGGCACCAATATTAAAATGTCCAATACATAAAAAGATTTACAATAAAACAAGAACTTCAGGGCAACAGAATCTTTCCTTTTTCTTTACTATCTTAAGATGTAAAATTCAAAAAGATGTAATAAACATAAATACTTTCATGCAAAATTTAAAAACTTTCTCTCACTGCAGTGTTCCTTTTTGCTTCGAATTTAAACATTGGTAGGGCAACATTACATCAACCATGCTAATATTATTAGCATTTTTCTAAAAACAACATTTTTCATATTCATTTTATATCTTTGATTTAATTTTTGAGGTATTAATTGTTTAATTTCTTCATTGGACTCATCTATTATTGATTTCCAAAGCATCTCATTTTCAATTCCATTTTAAAATGTTACGATGCAATTGTTTACCAGACTAGAAGATTCCAGGGGACACTGACACCATGTGCAATTCCTTATTGGCACTCGTTCATTGTGAAATATTGCAATATGAAATTAAAATAAAATAAGGAAATGCAATAATAGTATGAAATAAAATGAGTTACAACACACAGGAAGAAATGTTACATTACTATTTAGAAATTTGTTTGGCGCCAAACATCACCTTGGCGATAAACATCTCACTCATAATGTAACATTTTCTGTCCTTATGACATAAATTACAATAACAGAATACCAATTCTTGAAATTGGCAGTGTTTAATATTCGATTGATCGAGTAGTGAACTGATTCCATCTGTTTCTCCGATTCATGCTTAAGAATTTTTTTTATTGCCATTTTCTGTGGATGGATGTAGAATGTGATATTTTAGTTTACATAAAGGTACATGTATACACGGGAAACTTATGTAATGCTGCCAAAAATCAATTTTGAGATTTCGATGGAAACACATGTTTTGAGGTCCCCTGATAACGAAAAAGTGTTGTTTTTTCAAAATGTTCATCTGCCCGTCTGTCGGGTGTGTGTGAACACTACTAGCGCCTCAACTATGGGTAGGATGTTGAAGAAACCCATGGCTCGAGTCGAAACTTTGAGATATTGCAAAACATTCTTCAAACTTTGGGGGTACTTTACATAAAGCCCTCCTGACATTTTTAAAAGTTTCTTCAAATCAGCTCCAAATGTGTCTTTAAACTTTTGGCAGTGATAGTGCTAAATGTACTCTATTAGATGACATAAATACCATACTCCTTTTCTTTAAAAAAAAATTAGCTATAAATTATGCCAATTAAGTTTTTTGAAAACTCTTATTTTCTGTGAAAACTACCTCAAAACTCTGCATTTTCAGAAATGCTAAAATGCCATTTTCTCAAAAATGGCACCAAATTTTTTCTTCAATCATTTCATACACATAGTGCTAATTGCACTCTTTAATACAACGAAAAGTTAATTTTGGTGTATTTATTTGTTTTTTCTAAATTTACACAAATGTAAATTTTTTGTAAGATCTCTCATGCTGTTGAAATGCATGTTTCCAGCAATTGTAAACACTATTATATTATAAGTACTTAAAATTACTAAAAATGTTTTTCAATAGCTCAAAAATTTTCTGTGAAAAAGACTTTCCTTACATTATTGCTATTGTAATTGTAGAGATAAAAAACATATTTGAATCATTTTAATTGTTAATTTTTTACAATAATTCCTTTTAAATGTGATTTTTCATCATTTAATGCCTCTTTACACTCCTGCTTTAGCAAGAATAAATGCCTTTTTCCCTGCCTATTTAAGTAAAATAAATGCCAGAACTTCTGAGCTATAGTCATTACTATTCGAACACTTAAATCAATGCTGAATCCAGAAAATCTTTTATAACAAAATAAATGTTTCTAATATTTCTTAGGTAATACTCTTGATTTTGTAACAATTTTGCATGCACAGATCCAATGAAGTGACTGCATGTCTGAGGCATGAAGGTTTTTCGTCCCATTCATCCCTCTTCTCTAATCCCTTGAGCAAATCCTGTGATGGTCCCTTGTTTTGCTTCTGGGGATAAATGTAACTTCATTATCTGTGGGGTCCTAATGGACGATTCGGGCCCTGGTGGGGTATACTGAGGCTCATAGGTATACACCATTAAATACCAGGAAAACCCCTCCTGTAATGGGGAACCTTTGTAGAAAGGCTGAGTCATCAAGTCCCTTCCCAAACCTCCTCGTGGTGGCCCTGGATGCTCTGTGTAGTGAGAACCTACAGAGTAACGAAAAGGGTGGGACGAAAGGCGAGTTTCCGGCGCCTTAAAACAGGAACCATGAGCTAAGGGAAGGAAACCCTGACAGAAAACCAAGGAGGGAGGGGGGCCGCCGTAGGTGTAGTGGAACCAACCTTCCTAAGGGATGACAACCCTGAAAAAATAAACATCTACCTCCAGGATTAAACATGGGGGTTGGACGCAGGGCTAACATCCCGGCTCCATAAAAAAAAACTTCAGTTCAAAGCGATTTAAATATGCCTCGGACCAGACCAAAATTAAACTTATGACAAAGGCTACAAAAACGGACAATGAAAATTGGAACATGGAATATACAAGGCCTACGAACAAAGCAGAGAAAGGTCATCTCAGAAATAAAAAAAAAGGACCTGGACATAATTATACTTACGGAAACGAAGAAAAAAGCGACAGGGGAAGGAATTTTGAATAAATATCTTCATATTTGGAGTGGTGTACGCAAAGATTTTAGAGCTAGAAGTGGAGTCTCTTTCCTTATTAAACGTAAATGGACAAAATTCATTAAAC